TTTATGGTTTGATTTCTTTGTATGTATGGATCACTTGGGTTGTTACCGACATCTGGTGAAAATTTCATGTCATTAGCACTTCTAGTAATATATTTACTGAGAAAAATGGTGACGTGTTCAATACTTATTTTACCCGCTGTAAGAATTAAATTCAGTGGAACTGAGCTGATAAAGGGAGGAAGTCTGCTGAGGTCCAGTGAAACAGTTTGGACTAAATAAGACGGTGTCTAAATGCCTGAAATGACTTGAAATTATCCAAGTGTCAACCATTACCGCAGCTGGAGGGTTCAAATGCTTATTCCTAAAATGACAAAGAGGAAAAATTACTTTTTTTTAAAGCTGAGGGCTGTCAAAAAGCACATAATGTACTGTAGATGAGATGTAGATAAGGAATGGCCCATGGCTCAGGTGGAGTCTCTGCTTCAAGTAATTTAGTAACTGCATGGGTGTCTTGTTCACAAGTGATGGATCAACAGATTTGAGCATTGTCCTTAGTGGTGTTGTAGTCAAGACCACCTATCCTGAGACAAAGTCAAGAGTGTATCAATACCGAGACAAGACCAGGAGTTTTAGGGGCCAAGATAAAAAAAAAACAGAAACTAGTGCCCTAAAGCGTACAGTATACTCAGTATACTGTATGTTAATGTATACTATACTGTACACAGAAAGCTTTATATGAATAGCAATTGACTAAATATCTTGTTTTGAGGGTCGTGTAAAGAATTTTGGCTAAGAGAAATATTGCTAACATTAGCTAGCTAGCTTTGCTAACATCACAAAGCTTACGTTTCTTTGTGTTTCCTTTCTAAGTGACGATAAAAGTTTAACGTAGTCTTCGTCGTCTCTTAAAGCAAAGCTCTGCAGAATTTACAGGTTGCTGCTTATTCCTGGGTGTTGTTTTACAGATAAATTATTATTTACGTAGCTAAAATTTGTTACTGAAGATTTTGCAAATATCTTTTTCTGCTCCCAGACGACCAYGGCTCACTTTCTTGGAGTGACGCGTGTGAGTGAAAGCGGGTGACAGCGGTAAAAAAAACAAACCATAATTATCATTTGGTCACACTTGAATTTGAATCATTGTGTTTTACATTCAATGAAAGCAAAGATGTTAACAAATACATTTAGTGATATTTACACAGTTGCAGTCTTGATTGGTCTTGAAATAAAATCGAGAGTCCTCAATGTCCAAGACAAAAACCACACACATCAACATACAACCTTTTACAAATGTGTTCTTGGTCTCGAGACTATCAAAAGTCATCTTGTGACCTGTCTCAAGAGCAAGACCGGTGTCGAGTCTTACAACACCAGTAATGAGGGTGTTGTTTTGGTCAGTCATGATGAAGAAATTGATTTAGTCTTGATTTAGTCTGTCTACGTTCCAACCCTCACCTGTGGCCACGAGGAGKGRATCATGACCAGCCGGACTCAGCCTTAGAGATAGGAAGAGGAGCACCGTCATGGAGGGAGCTCAGAGAAAGGAGTCATTTGAGGTGGTTTGGGCATCTGATGCCTCCTGGACACCTCCCTTCAGAGGAGTTTCAGGCACGTCCCAGGACTCCCTGGCCTGAGAATGCCTTGGAGTCCCCCAGAATTAACTGGAGAGAAGGATGTTTCTCTCCTAAACCTGACCAGGATAAGAAGCAGAAGATGGAGATAAGAATCATAAAATTATCAGTTTATTATTTTTGTAATTTCATCTTTGATGTTGCATTTTTCCCACAGCAGATGCAGTTTGGGTTTTGTTTCATAAGTTCTTAAATATTTTATTCTCCATTTGTATTTGACCTTGTAACACTGAACCCAGGGGCTTTGATACTAAATATTTGATCAGGGAAAAAAATACACCACTAGAAGTCAGATTTCTAAGTTTGTAACTCTGGGAAAGTTATTCCAGTTCAGCTTTTAAATTCTAAACCATTCCCTAAAACATGAGCTTGCACAACAATTCCCAGTTATTTTCAAATCCAATAAAATGCAAGGCGTAGAGGAAATTCAGCTTCTTAGTTACTTTTTTCCCAAAATGAAAACATTTGACATACAAATTGTTGCTGACCAATAAGTCTGTCTGCACAATTTAAAATAGATCTTACTCCGAGCTTGTCGGCCTTTTTTTCACTTGAATTACTGAGTAAGATAMGAATCTTGCAGACGTCTGTCTGGCTCAGAGGAAGCGTGAGTGGCAGGAAGAGGAAGAAACAAAAGTAGGGAAATAAAAGAGGGTCTTTTGTTGCCTTTTCTACTGGACGTAGTTGTGGGAGAAAACAGCTGATGACAGTTTGATTGTGCAAAGGCTGACGTTGAGTAGGTTATGGTTTTCAAACATGAGTAATCGCAGATTGTGGGAGTATGAAACAATTGTCCTTTATTGAGAAAATAATCATCTCTGAAGGGAGCAGCTGACACTCCTGACCTCAGTCATGTTGCTCCTGAAAACTTCTACTTGCCACTCATGGCGAAAATGTTTTATTTATGCAGTTGTTTGTAGTGGATAGGTTTTAATGACATTTTCAGGAAGCAATCCCTTGATACACATCTACAACTAATTAACTTCAACTCATTTTAAGATGACCGACACAGATAATGGGCCTTTAGCACTGTCATTTCTCATCAAAGGAGGATCTTGGTTTCAGAAATGCAAAACCACAATGAATCATTTTTCTTCTGCTTTGCTCCAATAGGGTTGGGTAATTTTCCTTAAAGGAATCCATGATTAGTTGTAACATTAGACTTTATTTGATAAACATATTTTTTAACTGTAAAATAAAGACTGTAAAAATACTGTAGGATGTTCAGTTTTTATAATTTTTTAACTAAAAGTTTAAAAATACATTACACCATTTTATTTACACGCAAAGCATTCTGGGTAAATGATGACGTGGATAGGTCCTCGGTGCGAGGCTGCTAGCGAGCTATATCCACCCTGATGGTTAATCTTGGACAATGTGTGACGACTGGCTCTTTTAAATGAAACCAGAGAGCGTTGACAGAGAGGAGAAGGTAGAAATGACTCAGCCTGTAACTGAAAATATGGATGGAGGWCAACAGAGCTGCTTCATGGAAGAAGAACCTCAGCTTAGCCTGTTAGCTTTAGCATTAGCCCTGATGCTATCACCATATATATGTATTAGCTCAGCGCTACACATTCTCCTCTCATCACTGAGGTCCCCCATCCACATGACAGAGAGGGGAACTCAAAAATGACTCAGGCTGCAACTGAAAATATGGATGGAGGACCTCAGTTTAGCTTGTTTGTTGHRMTASCGCCAAGCTAATACATATAAGGCAATATAGCGTCTGTGCAAGCGTGAAGACCAACAGGCTAAGCTGAGGTTCTTCTTCCATGAAGCAGCTCTGTTGTCCTCCATTCATATTTTCAGTTACAGGCTGAGTCATTTCTGCCTTCCCCTCTCTGTCAACGCTCTCTGGTTTCATTTAAAAGAGTCGATCATCAGATGTTGTCCAAGATTAACCTTCAGGGTGGATATAGCTCGATCACATTGATGACCTATCCACGTCATCATTTACCCAGAATGCTTTGTGTGTAAATAAAATGGCCCATCCGTGTTAAAATAGGCCTATATATTTTAAAATTTACAAAACGAAACAGCCTACAGTATTTTTACAGTCTTTATTTTATAGTTAAAATAAATGTTTATCAAATAAAGTCTAATGTTACAACTAATCGTCCCTTTAAAATCAAGGTTTTAACAGGAAACATAAGAGTTTTTGTTTCACAAAAGAGTGATTTAGGGGGATTACGTCTTCACATATTTCTGTTTGGTTTATTGTGGATAACTTTATTTTTTTCAGCAGTTTGACACAGCCATTCCTGAGGGGGATAATGATTAACACRTATTACCACATATATCTGCTAACAATTTGAATTTCTCCATAAAAGTAGAAAAAATGTCAACTTTCTGTTTTTCGTGTCATAGTGGTGAAGTCCATGGGCCAGGGCGGGGACAACGACGCCGTCCAGGGGGACTCGCTGTGGTCCAAATACAGCACCGACCTGTGGAGCATCGTGGAGACCCTGTTCATTCAGGACGGCCCTTTCCTGGTGGTCAGGCTCACTGTCCTGACCCACTATCGCATCATTCACCAGATGCTCATTTTCTTTACTGTCAAGAATTTCCTGGTGGTCATACTGAACCTTTACCGCCTGTTCGTCATATGCCAAGACTTCAGATTCTCCCAAAGTGGCCCATGAGTCAGAAAGTGAATTGTTTCTTAGTGGGGAGTGAGTGTGTGAAAAAAATTAAATAAAAAATGGAGCAAGAAAACAAGTAACTGTGGTGAAAACAAAAACAAAACAAAAATTGTGGTGGCACGATCTACCAAGAATGCAGAAACACGTTGGAATAATACCAGAAAAGTCTGCGTGTACGATAATCAAATATGGTTTAATTATGAGCGACAAACAAACAGAACTGAATCAGGAAGGTTCTGCATGATTGTGACTGAACTCGTCAGCAGACTACAGCCGGTAATATAACATTATGTTAACACCATGTGACAGTTTACAACCAATCACAGGTTGCTAACTCCGTTGCGGAGTCCTGACGTCCGGAGAAAAACAGACAACGAGMGCGAAATGAGCTATCAGAAAGATACGAGTGATGGACAGTGTCAAGGTGAAACAGATATAAATAATTAGTCCATGACAATCCCACCTCTTGAGTGAACAATACTCAAAACCAAACCAAATGGAATAATTATGAAACGTCCAAACACAAATACATCACTCAACAAACAGATACAATGGAGAAATAAGGGAAAAATAGTGCAAGTTAAATGACGACCAACAACATATACATGCAATCMATGTAAGATACAACAGTAAAAAAGGCTTAAATGACAAGTGAAACATCTTAACTCATCAGGAGAAAAACTGCATTTTATTACAGCCAAACTTCCAATAATTGTGCTGGTATTCACAAATATTTTCTGGTTTTGGCTAAATTTGTCAGAAAATTGTGACCTGAAGCCTGCTTATTCAGGTCACAATTAAGTTCCAAATTCATACTTGTTCTTGTCAGTGTGATTTTCCACAAAAACTTCAATTTGCCACTAATTACATAAGAAATTTGTTTGTTTGTCTGAAAATAAGTGCTGCTGGACAAAGATGGCACAGAGGCTGTAAAGTATTAAAGAACATAAACATCAGTGCAACTTTTCAAAGTTTTTTTGTATCTCTGATTTTATTTTTGCATCTTCCATATATTCTATTCTCCCTGCACTGATGTTTATTTTTATTTTTTTGTTTCCTTTAAATGAACAAATGCACACATTTACATTAAGGTTATACCTTTTGTTTGCGTATTATGTGACAGAGTCTGTGAAGGRCTTTTCTCAGGCTTTGTGACAATTTGTGATGAATAAGTCAAACATGACACTTGTGAAGAATTTTTTTTTTGTATTTCTGCTGTTATTCCTTTTATTATTTACCAGAAATATTCCCGCTAAGTGCAGTTAATCCTGTTAAAGTGTTATTGTTACCCTTTAAAGTATTCAAGGTTATCTCTGAAAAACAGCTCGACTTTCAGACAATCAGATATTCTGTGATGTTTTATTTTATGAATGTAYTCTCGACATGTATTGTGAATAAAAACAGCATTGTTATGACCTACATCACTAAAACCCCRTCCTACACTAATATAAAAACTAATTTGTGTGACTTCTAATTATTTTATTCATTAAATGTAATTCCTAGAAACAAATGACTCCCCCTTGTTTTGGGCATGAGTTATTATTATTATTTTTTATATTGTGACTCAGTGACAGACTGTTCAGCGTAGTTCATCACAACCTGTTTTATTTAGGTGTTCAAGGCTTTCAGCTGCTGTCAAACTGTCAGAACTTATTTTTATCATTATAACAGATCATTAGTTTTCTTCCCTCTGACATGTTCTTCGCTTCTGTTGTTTTTATCTTTGKTTTTGTTTTCTCTCATTGACACTACTGTAGATGTCCAGTGATCACTTTCTGGATGGTAGATCATGTCAGMTGTTCCTTCTTATTTATTATTTAGCTCCTCCCTTGTTTTTTTGTTCTTTGTAAGCATCTTGTAACCTTCGTGGGTCCTTGGTTGTCATTAAATAATTTCTACTTTTTTTCCATTTCAGTCCAGTCTGATTATTTCTTTTCTTAGCCCTGTGTCCAGTTTGTCTTTGTCTTGGGTGAAGTACTTCCTGCTTTTGTGACAAGCCTTGCTTCTTAATTTAGTAAAGCATTCTTGCCGTGCGCCTGTCCTCTTCTGAATTGTTGTCCTCTATTCACTAAATCTTTTGCCATTGGCATGCAAAAAAATAGGCAGTAGGCAGTATAGGCAAATGCTAAAGGATGCCATACATCTACAGGGTGCCACAAATGGGGAATGATAAAATATCTCATATTTTGTTATTAGAATCACTGATTACTTAAGTTTATGAAGGTAACTTGTTCTGTGGGTTTATCTGCCTGCCAAATAACACCTGAGGTGTTATATGGTGCAGAGGATGTTTTGTGATAGAAGTATGATGAAGTCAGGACTAACCACTGGTGCTCTGTGAGTAAACAGAAAACAAAATAAGAATAATATAATTTTTAGTTATGACCTCAGATAAAGATCAGGTTAAATAAAGTCTGTCGTGTTCATTATACACAAACTTTATCTTGTAGTAAAATGTTCTTCAAATGGCTGGAAAATGCATGGTTTTGAGTGGATCTTTAACAGCATTTCCAGAGAAGTACTCCTGGACCCCCCTACAACTGCTTCACTCCCCAGCTGCTCGTTAACATGAACAGGTAGGTGTTCCTCATTGCTGTCAGCAGATGTTGGCAGGTATGAGGTAGATGYATGGTGTTTTGTTTCAAGTTAATTATACTGTCAAATATTTTATTTGGTCACCCTGGTTTCTAAAGATAAAATAAYAATWTCAAATACAAAACTATTCAATTGGCAAGTGTTTGGTAAATTGGAGATTTAGAAAATTGCACAAGAGGCACCTCCCTAATAAAAATGGGGCCGACTGTTAAAAAGAACATACGAAATCTGGGAGTCAATTTTGATTCAGATCTGTCACTAGATAAACACGTCAAAAATCTAGTTACTGTAAAAAAAAATAATAATAATTGTATAGGTCTTCTGGACGGGTTCTTCTCTAATGAAACGTTTCGTCTCTCCTCCAAGAG